TCTTCTGCGCTCCCACCAGAATTGTCCATTAAGCTCTGCTTACAACAATATAAGGCATTTCCAGCTTGCACTGCCAAGCATCTCAAAATTCCTCCCACCAATACCAAAAAGCTCCAAAACCTTCTGAACCACCTGGTCAGGTTAGTCACAGCAATGACCTGACCCCACTATCGGTACCAATTTCTGTTTTAGGCAGCTTTTTTCATTGCTGTGACTAACTGACCTGACAAGAACAATTGTAGAGGAGGAAAAGTTTATTTGAGGGCTTTTGTTTTCAGGGGTCTTAGTCCATAGAAGGCCAGCTCCATTCCTCAGGGCTTGAGGTGAGGCTGAACCATCATGGTGGAAGAGTGTGGCAGAGGGAATCGGCTCACATGATCATCAGAAAGCAGAGGGAGAGAGAGAGAGAGATCTTCACTTGTCACATAAATATATATACCCCTAGCCATGCCCCAGTGTCCCAGTGTCCCTCCAGCCAGACCCTACCTTGCCTTCTGTCACCACTCAGTTAATTCCATCAGGTGATTAATTCACTGATTGGTGAATCAGCTCTCCTCTGAACCCTTTCACATTATCTCATACTGAGCTTTTGGGGGGACACCTCACATCCAAACCATAACAAATACTAATCAACTTTTGGCCTTTCCATAAATTTCTCTGTAAGTGTATGTTGAGTTGCATTTCAAATGTGTTGAAGTGTATTTTTATCCAGAAACTTTTGAATTCCCATTGTGTTTTTTTCCTTTTCTTTGGTTCATGTGATTTAGAAGTATGTTTCTGTATTTCCAAATACAGATGGCCTTTCAGTTATCCTTTTTTTTTTTTTTTTAAGAAAATACTTTAGGGGGCTGGGGATGTGGCTCAGGCGGTAGCGCGCTCGCCTGGCATGCGCGCGGCCCGGGTTCGATCCTCAGCACCACATACCAACAAAGATGTTGTGTCTGCCGAAAACTAAAAAATAAATATTAAAAATTCTCTCTCTCTCTCTCTCTCTCTCTCTCTCTCTCTCTCTCTCTCTCTCTCTCTCCTCTCTCACTCTCTCTCTCTTTTTTTTTAAAGAGATGAGGAGGATTTCTTAATGACTGAGTGCTGTATCTAGATGATGTTAATTAAGTTAAGCTGTGTGTAATTAGTTAAGTATATATACCTCTGCTGTCCTGTAATAAAGCGGCTCCCGCTGTTTCAATCTTTACAAGTTGCTTGTCACCTCCTGGTTATTTTGCCCAGCCAGACTGTGGCAAATGGTGGTCCGTACGGGGAGCCCTGGGACGCTCGGGGGTAAGTGACAAGGTAGGCTGCCCGTCCTTAGAAATAGATAGGACGGGAGCAAAGCTGCTTGTCCCTAGAAGCAGATAGGGCGAGAGGAAGGATGGCCATTTTAAGAAAGTGGAGAAGATTGATACAGTGTGTTTTTGTCTTGTTTTGTCTTGGTGTGTTGTATTGTCTTTGTTACGAAAATATGGGATCAGAAGTTAGTGAAGGTCAGACAGAGGGGGTGTTAAGTAAATTGCTGAAGGAAGGAGGCATCCCAGTAAAACCAAGAACAGTTAGGATATGCGTTGATAAAAGCCCAGGAACTCTAGTCAGAAAGAGGAAGAAAGTTCAGAGGAGGAAGGAGTTGCAACAAAAGGCTACTGCTAAATACTTTTCGTTACCAGAGGGTGCGTGAAGCTGTGCGGTGGGTGCTGCGTGCGTGGGCCAGTCACAGCACAGCAGGGACTTTCCAAGAGGCTGAGGCCACTGGCCTTTCCCCGCCCCCTACCTGGGGAGGGGGATGCCACTGCTGGGAGCCCAAACCCAGACCTGACCTGACCAGACCCAGACCTGAGGCAATCTCTCGCAGGCTCTTGCTCCCTTTGCCCGGTGGCAGTTTGAGTCTGGGACACTCCTCAGGGCCTTCTGGGGCTGCCCGGGGACAGGACACGACAGCTGATGGCAGAAGATGCGCCTGGCATCCCTGAAGTTTGGCTATTTTCAATGCCAATAACTAATGAGTTGTCAGTTTTTTCCCTATTTGCTGCAGGTGCTGCCACGGGACTCCTTGCTATTCCTGTAGATAAATGCAGGGTTAGCAAGATCTTAAATCCATGGCAGCTGATATCCAGAACTCCAGTTTAGCTACAATGGTTCTCCCACACCTGGAGGTTAATGAATAATGAGCCACCATTGAGGCCTATTTCAAATGTAAAAAACCTTGAGATAATGTACTGAATTGTTCAGAGGGTTGTTTTCTTGGTGTCTGCTGGAATGCTACAGGATTTTCTTTAGCCATCATTGCCAGAGTTCCTGCCTTGTCCCAGTGCCGTCCCAGTGCGGGTGAGGACAAGGGTGGAGGGATTTCCAGTGTTACTGAAAACCAAACGAGACTTTGGAATCACAGCTACCATCTTCACAGCTGTTGCTGTTTCTGCTGCTGCTGCAACGGCTTCTGCGATGGCTATCACACAAACTGTATAAACAGATGCATCAATGAATAGTGTGGCTCAGCAGGTGATACTCAGTCAAGGAGTCGATTTACTTTGGGGAGAAATGGACATATTAATGGATTCCTCTGCTTTGAACTGCTTGTGGAACTTGCCTGGACTATGTGTCACTTACATGTATTGTGAACTATCTGTTGATGCAACGAATTGTGGTAGTACCGGGGTATCTTTGCTAGTGGTGTTATCGGTGGTACAATTTTTCCAAAAGGAGCCGTCAATTGGCTTGGTATTGTGGCATTTTGTATCCTCCCCCTTCTGCTTGTAGCAGGTTATCCACAAGTATGGCTAAGTGTGTTGGGCTGGTAGTCAAAGATGGGTAAGATCCAATTACAATGGCCAACCTAAGACAGGAGACTGATTTGAGGTCAGACCATCCAATGACGGGTAAGGACCATATGTAGTATTGGACAACCTAAACAGGCACGGTCCCTAAGCCACATACTTGTTGTTTAATTAAACAAAAGGGGGAAATATTGAGGGCCACAATCAAGTCAATATGGTGCTTGGCATTTGCCAGGAGGAGTGGTTTGTGAAGTAACGCCATCGAGTCATTAAGATGATGAGGATTCCTTAATGACTGACTGCTGTATCTAGATGATGTTAATTAAGTTAAGCTGTGTGTAATTAGTTAAGTATATATACCTCTGCTGTCCTGTAATAAAGTGGCTCCCTCTGTTTCAATCTTCACAAGTTGCTTGTCATCTCCCGGTTATTTTGCCCAGCCAGACTGTGGCAGCTAATTAATTGTACCTTAATGGTGTTTTAAATTGTTCCTCTATCCCATGCTTGCACTTTCTAGTTCATAAAAGTTTATTCTATGGAGGATATAGAGGCTTGATCATATTCAGATTTGATGTTTTTTATTTTGTTAAATGGCCAATATAGTAATGGTGTTTATTTATTACATAATCACAATGATATCTATTCCCTCCTTTCCTTCCTTCCTTCCTTCCTTCCATCCATCCTGAGGATTGAATCCAGAGCCTTGCATGTGCTAGGCAAATGCTCCACCACTGAACTACATCTCTATCCCTTTTTATTTCTTATTTTGAGATGGATTCTTGCTGAGTTGCCCAGGTAGCTTTGAATCTGTGATCTTTCTTTTTTGGCCTCCCAAGTAGCTATAATTACAGGTGTGGGCCACCATGCCCCCTTCTTCTTCTTCTTCTTCTTTTTTGTGGTGCTGGGGATTGAACCCAGGGCCTTGTGCATTTAAGGCAAGCACTCTACCAACTGAGCTATATCCCCAGCCATATTTCTCTTCTTAATGATGATGACTTAGGGTCATGAATTGACAAGGGGTTGGAAAATGGTGGTATTCTAATTTTGTTGTTCTTTATTTTTCTCTTGAGATTGTGCTATAAGAAAAATTTTCCTTATCTTCTATTTGGTTACCTTCAGTTAGTTTCTAGAGGAAAGACATAAATACTTGATTCTTTTTTCTAAAAAAAAAAAAATTTTTTTAAAACAATAAGTTGGTTTTCTGGTACCCTCAAATGGTCATCAATGAGGCATTTAAAATGCTGTTAAATAATATTGTTTTGTATTTATCACATATTGTATTCATTACATCTATTAATATTTCTGCTATCCTGTCTTTGGCCAGGATAGTAGGAATATTCAAATTGGCTCCTGTCTCCTTTTGACATAAAATATAATTTTTTATAGCTTTCTTATTTTCTCATGTGCAGGATGTTCCAGGCTCATTTTATACAACCCCTGTGATTTCTCCAATGGGTCTTAATTTGTTTTAGTAAAATAATTTTTATAATCTAGGTACTAGGCATACCTATACGTTTAATAATTGTTTTAGACCTTTTCATTGCTGCAGATGTAGGC